GAGAAAAGACTTTGTTTTTTGTTTTTTGAGATGGAGTCTTACTTTGTCACCCAGATTGGAGGGCAGTGGCACAGCCTTGGCTCACTACAACCTCCACCTCCCAGGTTCAAGCAATTCTCCTGCCTCAGTCTCCCAAGTAGGTGGTATTACAGGTGTGCACCATCACGCCTGGGTAATTTTTGTGTTTTTAGTAGAAACAGGATTTGGCCATGTTGACCAGGCTGGTCTTGAACTCCTGACCTCAGGTGATCCACCTGCCTCGGCTTCCCAAAGTGCTGGGATTACAGGCATGAGCCACCGTGCCTGGCCTCTTTCAGTAGTCTTTGAATGATCTTGCTTATGGTGCTTCTTATCCCTATTATCCTCATTAAGTTTAATCAATAAATATTTTTCGCTTTTTAATTGATTCATATAAATAGACTTACCTGAGGGATACGGGTTTGGTTCAGACCATCACAATAAAGGTGAACATCATAATAAAGAGAGTCATGTAAATGTCTTGGTTTCTTAATGCCTATAAAACTTCTTTTTACACTGTGCTGTAGTCTATTACATGTACAGTAGCATTATGTCTTTAAAAAAATAATAACCTTAATTTAAAAATACTTGATTGCTAAAAAATGCTAACAGTAATCTGAGTCTTCAGGGAGTTGTAGTCTTTTTTGCTTGTATAGGGTCTTGCCTTGATATTGGTGGTTGCTGGAGGTAGGACTGGCTGTAGCAGTTCTTAAAATAAGATAACAGTGAAATTTGCCACATTGATTAACACTTCCTTTCGTGAAAGATTTCTCTGTAGCATGTGATGCTGTTTGACAGCGTTTTACCTACAGTAGAACTTCTTTTCAAAATTAGACTCATCCTCTCAAACCCAGCTACTGCTTTATCAACTAAGTTTATGGAAAACTCAGTCTTTTGTCCTTTTAAAAATGTTCACAACATCTTTACCAGGAGTGGATTCTACCTCAAGAAACCACTTTCTTCGCTCATGCATAAGAAGTAACTGCTTAGCCATTCAGGTTTTTTCATGAGATTCTAGCAATTGAGTCACATCTTTAGGATCCACTTATCATTCTAGTTCTCTTGCTATTTCCACCACTCTGTAGTTACTTCCTCAACTGAGGTCTTAAACCCCTCAAAGTCATCCATGAGAGCTGGAATCAACTTCTTCCAAACTCCTGTTAATATTGATATTCTGACCTCCTCCCATGAAAGATGAATGTTCTGGATAGCATCTAGAATGTTGAATACTTTTTTGAACATTTTCAATTTACTTTGCCCAGATCCATCAGAGAAATTGTTATCAATGCTGGGTATCCAAGTTATCAGGGACAAATCCATACAGATCTTCAGCAACCTCAACCCTAAACGCCTCAGAGGAAAGAATTCTGGGGGACATAAGGCAGAAAAAGAGATCAAGCAAGTTTTAGAGCAAGAGTGAAAGTTTATTACAAAGCTTTAGAGCGGGAATGAAAAGAAATTAAAATACACTTGAAAGAGGGTCAAGCGGGCATCTTGGAAGACAAGTGCCCCATTTGACCTTGGACTTAGGGTTTTATATGTTGGCATACTTCAGGCATCTGGCATCCTTTTTCCATCTATTCTTCTTTTGGGGTGAGCTGCCCACATGCACAGTGGCCTGTTAGCACTTGGGAGGGGCGTGTGCGCAGGGTATTTACTGGAGTTGTATGCATGCTTCCTGAGGCGTTCATTGCTTACCAGCCGAATGTCCTTAGGAGGTCATATACAAGTTAAACCATTTGCTTCTAAATGCGTGTGCCAGAGCCCACTCACCCAACTCCTGAGATCTTACCAGAAAGCTGCTGATCACTAGTTTCAGGTGTTTCTATCTTTTGGAAGACTGCCTTTCCCTGGCACTGGCTGCGATCAATTATTATTTTAGAGAGACAATGTGAGAGCTGCCTGACTATCATCACCTGATGGTTGCCTGACATTCCTGGTGGCTTTGGGGGGATCCCTCGCCTGCCCTGTATGTGCCTAACTAGCTACTCGCTGTAACAAAAGTACTATATATGGCAGCTATAGCCTTAGGAAGAGTATTTCTTTAGTAAAACTTAAAAGTCAAAATTAGTCCTTTATCCATGGACTGCATAAAGGATACTGTGTTAGCAGGCATGAAAACAACATGAATCTCCTTGTACATCTCCATGAGACCTCTTGAGAGACCAGGTGCATTATTAGTAATGAGTAATATTTTAAAAGGAGTCTTTTCATCTGAGCAGTAGGTCTCAGTTGGGCTTAAAATACTTAGTAAACCATGCTGTAAACAGATATGCTGTTATCCAGGCTTTGCTGTTTGTATAGAGCTCAGAGAGAGTAGATTTAGCATAAGTTTTAAAGGCACTAGGATTTTCAGAATGGTAAACTAGCACTGGCTTCAACATAAAGTCGCCAACTGCATTAGCCCTACCAAGAGAGTGAGGCTGTCCATTGAAGCTTTGAAACCAAGCATTGGCTTTTTCTCTCTAGCTGTGGCAGTCCTAGCTGACACCTTCTTCCAATAGAAGGCTGTTGTTTCATCTGTGTGAAAATCTGTTGTTCTGATGAAGTGTGGCCACCTTCATCAGCAACCTCAGCGAGATCTTCTGTATTACCTGCTGCAGCTTATACATCAATACCTGTCGCTTGACATTACACTTTTGTGTTATGAGACAACTTATTTTCTTAAACCTCATGAGCTAACCTCTGCAAGCTCCCAGTTTTTCTTCTGTAGCTTCCTCACCTCTTTAAGCCTCATAGGCTTGAAGAAAGTCAGGGCCTTGCTCTGGATTAGGCTTTGGTTTAAGGGAATATCATGGCTGGTTTGATTTCCTCTCCAGACCACTCAGACTTCTTCATATCAATAATAAGCCTGTTTTTACTTTTTTTTTTAATCATTGTGTATTCACTGAAGTAGCTCTTGTAATTTAATTAAAGAGATTTTCTTTTGTATTCATGACTTGGCTGACTGCGGCTAGAAGTTGAGACTTTGGTGTCTCAGCTTTCAACATGCCTTCTTCACTAAGCTTAGTCATTTTTAGCCGCCTTATTTTATTTCTCTGAGACAAGATCTCGTTCTGTCATACAGGTTGGAGTGCGGTGGCATAGTCATTGCTTACTGTAGCCTTGAACTGCTTGGCTCAGGTGATCCTGCTGACTCAGCCTCCTGAGTAGCTGGGACTACAGGCATGTACCACCACACCTGGCTATTTTTTTTTTTTTTTAAGAGATGGGATCTTATTATGTTGCTCAGGCTAGTCTCTAACTCCTGATCTCAAGCAATCCTCCTGCCTTAGCCTCCCAAAGCATGGAGATTACAGGTGTGAGTCATAATACCTGGCCATTTTTAGCTGTTGATATAAAGTGAGAGACGTGACTCATTCTTCGAGACAGAGTCTCACCCTGTTGCTCAGGCTAGAGTGCAGGGGTGCCATGTCAGCTCATTGCAACCTCTGCCTCCTGAGTTCAAGCAATTCTCCTACCTCAGCCTCCTGAGTAGCAGGGACTATAGGCATGCACCACCAGGCCTGGCTAATTTTTGTATTTTTAGTAGAGACAGGGTTTTGACATGTTGGCCAGGCTGGTCTGAAACTCCTGGCCTCAAGTGATCCGCCCACCTCAGCCTCCCAAAGTGCTGGGGATTACAGGCTTGAGCCACCATGTCCAGCTGAGAGACATGACTTCTTTCAGTTGAACACTTAGAGGCCATTGTATGTTTCTTATTTGAACTAATTTCAGTATCATTGAGTTTCAGGGAATAGGGAGCCATGAGGAGACGGAGAGAGACTGGAACAGCCAGTAATGGAGCAGTCAGATCACATACAACACTTACTAAGTTCACTTTCTTCTATGGGCTTGGTTCATGGTGCAGTAAAACAATTGTAACAGTAACATCAAAGATTGTTAATTACAGAGCACTGTCACAGATACAATAATAGTGAAAAGTTTCAAAGTATTGAGAGAATTAGCAAAATGTGATACAGAGACACAAAGTGAGCACATGCTGTTGGAATAGTAGTGATGATGGACTAGCCTGATCCTCCAATTTGTAAAAACTGCAATGTGTGTGAAGTGCAGTCACACAAAGCATAATAAAACGAGATTTATTATGAGTATATCACCCAGAATATTGGGTAACTCTGATAAGTTTGTCCACTTAACATTGTACCACTTCAGATGAATAGCATCTTCCGTTTCCATCATTTGTAATGGAAGGACATTACAAATGATGTCCTTCTATTACATATAGGAGGACAGAATCTTGAAGTAAAAGACAGTGCTTCAAACTGAATCAGTTTGGTTTTATGAAAAATACTGTATATTGTCCTTTTAAACAATGCATATTTCTTATTTTAATAGCTTTTGTGTTACAAGTGGTTTTTGGTTACACAGATGAATTCTATAATAGTGTATTCTGAGATTTTGTTACAACTGTCACCCAAATAGTATATATTGTATCCAGCAGATTGTCATTTTTTTTTTTTTTTCATTTAACCATGGACTAATGAAAATTTTGTTAGGAACTGATATTAGGGCACCCTTGAGCTGCCTTGAGCTAATGGAAATAACCCTTGAATTTTTTTCCCCTTTGGCCTAGAGAATGTGGTTTGTTATTTTGTAACTGAATTCATGGGATTGTTAAGGTACAAGATTTCGCTATAGTTTTATTTATACTAGGATTTTGCTATATTAGTAAAGTGTGAAAAGAATCAAGAGTGTTAGAAACAATGCACAGAATGTGACTTTCAGCCTGTGAGTAGAGGATCTCTCTCTCATTAGGAGTTCTGTTGTTATATTTTATTTGTACTAGGATTTTGCAGTGTGAATACAGTGTGAAAAGAATCAAGTGTTAGAAAGCATGTGTAGAATGTGAATTTCAGCCTGTGAGTAGAGGATCTCTGCCTCATTAAGAGTTCTGTTGTTGTTCCAGGTTCCATCAGGCTTGTTCATCCCCAGCATGGCCATCGGAGCGATCGCAGGCAGGATTGTGGGCATTGCAGTGGAGCAGCTTGCCTACTATCACCACGACTGGTTTATCTTCAAGGAATGGTGTGAGGTCGGGGCCGACTGCATCACACCTGGCCTGTATGCCATGGTTGGTGCTGCCGCATGCTTAGGTAATGTGGCTGTGTCTGCCTGTGTGTAGATGTTTGCGAGTCTGAGAGAGCCACAAGAAAGTAGGACACATTCTTGCGTAATTGGTGGGCAGATTGGTTGAGTGAAGGAGAGTTCAGGGAGGAAATGTTTTAACAGAAAAGAAACAGTAGTACCATTAAGGTATTATACAGTACTGGTTTTCTGTCTTACAACATTTTTTAATACAAAAATTTAATGGCATTAGCATATTGTAATATAACCTAATACTTTATGGCAGAAGCCATGGAAGTACAACAGAAGCTTAATTTGAATCCTGACCAAAGAGATCTTTGATTTCTTAATTTATTAATAAAATTAGAAAAGTTAACTATTCATTTTAATGAGAAGAAAAGCAAAATACCTGCATTATGTACTTGAATCTATTTAATGTCTGTTGGGGCAGGAAAAAATAGTTGTTGTGTTTGTTTTATTTAAAATGTCAGCTAAACTTTGGTTATAATATTTAATAATACTTGCCATTTTGACCATTTTTGTGTAGTGAATAAAAGTTATGTGATTATTGAGCTTCAAAAATGTAATGTCATTTAAAAGGGAAGGACAGAATCATTTTTACCAAAGTAGCAAGTATTTATTAAATGTCCACTTTCTTTTTAGCATTGTGCTAGATACAGTGAATAATACAAAAAGAACTTGGACCCAATCTCCACTCTAGTCAAGTTAAGGAGACAAGATCAATACCGAGAATACAATAGTGAGGAATTTGAATGATTATATACAGTGTTCAAAGAGTCTAAATATGGTAGGAATATAAGAAAAGAAAGAGCTGAAGCACTTCAGGAAGAGTAGAACATGAGCTTTATTTTCGAAGATTAGCAGAATTTAAGGAAAAGGTAACTTTGCTGAAGATTATAATGTGAAGACAAAGGAACTAGGATGGGAATAAATTTTGTATTCATGAGGCTTTGACGAAATTGACTCTAAGTAGAGAGTACATTTTGGGTGCCTTTGGAAAATGAAGTTGGATTGGTGAGAAGGAACAGATTATGAAAAGACAACGTGATTTATGTCAGGATGATTTTATATTTGAAGTTGGTCAGATCTGTGGCAGTCCTAGCTTTGCCATTTTTAGTTTGATGACTTTGAGAAAGTTCCTTCTTGAATTAATTTTCTCTGTATAAAATGGAACTAACAGCCAGTGATCTGCTGGGATTGTTTTGAGGATTATATGAGATAAAATGCATGTAAAGCTGCTATAATAGTAGTGCCTGGCAAAGTAAGTACTTAGTTTGAAAAACAAGTCGTTGTAAACTGATGAGGACAAGATTGCCATCGGGTGGGTGTGTAATATATGGTAGGATCTGTCTCCCTTCTATTTTTAGGTAAAAAACACAAAGGAAGAGCGTGAGCTTAATACAGTACAAACTGACAAGCCTTGGTAGGTTTTTGAGCAAAGGAGCAACACAGTGAAAGTAGTAGTTAGGAAACAGTAGCCAGGGAACATGTCTTATAAAGCGGTAATGGGGCCTGGGGTCAAGGAGGTAAGATAATACGGTATTATAATTAAGGAATAGCCAGGCACAATGGCACACACCTGTAATGCTAGCTACTGGAGAGGCTGAGGTGGGAGGATCATGGGAGCCCAGGAGTTTGAGACCTAGGCAGCTGAGTGAGACCCCAAATTTTAAAAAGTACAAAGTAAAAAAGCAATAAAGTCATGAGGGCTTGGACTGGGTTGATAACAGTGAGAATACCGAGAAAGGGGCCTGTAGGTAGTGTGAACACAGCTCACTGCGGCCTCCCCAGCCCAAACGAGCCTTCCACCTCAGCCTCTCACATGGCTGGGACCACAGACATACACCACCATGCCTGGCTACTTTTTGTAATTTAAATTTTTGTAGAGATAGGGTCTTACTGTATTTCCCAGGCTGGTCTCAAACTCCTGAACTTAAGCGATCTTCCTGTCTTGGCCTCCCAAAGTCCTGAGATTACAGGCATAAGCCACTGTGCCTAGCCCAGATAGTTTTCTGTGAGTAGATATTACTTGCATCATTAATGTAAATCAGAGGCATCAAAATATTTTACTCCTTTTGAAAAAATTTAGAGGAGAAATTTATTATGTTAATATTCTACCCATATGTGAGTTTAATTTGTAAATTGGTAACAAACAAGATAACCATGATGTGCTTTACCAAATTCCTTAATAATTAGAGTAAGCTTTTATAAGGGTGAAATTATGTCTTTGCTACAGCAGTAAACCAGAGTGGCAAAATTGTTTTAGTTGATAAGCTTTGATTTTTTAAAATATGAAATAAACAGATTTTAAAATGTTATTTTAATAGGCTTCTGTGTTATAAACAAAGAAAATTGGTGTTTCTCTAGATCTTATTAAAAGTAGTGATTATTGTCCTAAAAGAGGAGTAGCAGTTTCAGACGATAATGCCTTTCCCTGCCTGAGTTCTATTTATAATTTGGTTTTAACTGCCTAGTGCAAAAATTGTAATGAAATGTAATGATGAGGATCCTGTCCTTCCTAACTAGGGTGTGCTTACTTTCTTCAGGTGGTGTGACAAGAATGACTGTCTCCCTGGTGGTTATTGTTTTTGAGCTTACTGGAGGTTTGGAATATATTGTTCCCCTTATGGCTGCAGTAATGACCAGTAAATGGGTTGGAGATGCCTTTGGCAGGGAAGGCATTTATGAAGCACACATCCGATTAAATGGATACCCTTTCTTGGATGCAAAAGAAGAATTCACTCATACCACCCTGGCTGCTGATGTCATGAGACCTCGAAGGAACGATCCTCCCTTAGCTGTCCTGACACAGGACAATATGACAGTGGATGATATAGAAAACATGATTAATGAAACCAGCTACAATGGATTTCCTGTCATCATGTCAAAAGAATCTCAGAGATTAGTGGGATTTGCCCTCAGAAGAGACCTGACAATTGCAATAGGTACCGTTTCAAATATCTGTCTGTCTGTCTATCTATCTATCTATCTATCTATCTATCTATCTATCTGTGTATATATGAGATAGATTTCTGGAAGAAAGGAAATCAGTAAGCAGTAACATTTAATGGGTTGGATTTTTGGTGACAGGGATGTTATTTTGTGTCCCTTAAAATCTTATGTTCTTAAGGAAAGGAAGGTATGCTTCAGTGGATTGTTTACTGCTAAATACAGTTTTATCTTTTGATCTGGCATTGTTAGCAGAAATTGGAATCAGATTCTTTTCTCACTCAGATAAGCCTTGATAAGTTGATCTTGGTTATTCAAAATAACTTGTAATATAAGACCTTAGCCAAATACATTCAGCCAAATACGTTCTTGTATTTAATAAAGTTGGCTTATTGGAATACGGGTCATTGAAAATCTCATCTTCATCAGTCTCTTTCATATTAGATTAACACCATTTTGCTTTATCATTCTTTGGAGTTAGGTTTACAATATGAACTTAAAATATCTGATGTAAAGTGACAGTCATTGAGATTTTTGTTTCTGATCAAATGCCAGGTTGAAAAAGTATATCAGTCCTGTTGTTTTGTATGCAGACTACTGTTCAAAGGTATTAGCCATAGTATATTTCTTGGAGATAAATTAAACTCTCGGCAGAGGAAGCAGTTGTATTTCTCTAAAATTTGTTTTTCTCCTTACCTTGTAGTCCTACAATATTGATAAGGAGGCATTGAGAGTTAATTTTTTTTTTTTTTTTTTACACAATCTTAAATCTCTTCCTCTAACCCCTACAAGTGATCGAGGATAGGTACCTCAAGCCATTGCTTTGTTACTCCCCAGTTTTTAGTCCCGTACCCTGAATGGAAGTGTCAAGCCTTTAGCCTGTCTGAAAGGTCATTCCTGTGATCATGTCTTCTCTCTTCCAGCTTACTTCTGTGGCCATTGCAAAGGATTGAGAAATAATTTTTGTGCCACTTGAATGGCACACGACCAGACAGTGTATGTTAGGGGAGTATTTCTCAAATCAAACTGGAAACTCTTTAATTTGTAAGAGCTGTTAAAGCAGAGAGAGAGAGAAAAGAAAGGAAAAGAAAAAAGATCCTACAGAGAATACCCCGTTCAGTTTGGGAACAGGCTAGTTTTGGAAGGATTTTTCGAGGCCTAGCAATCCCATCATTCTAAATTTTACTTAGCTAATACAGTTGCCAGAGCATATGACAAAGTATTTTGTGATGCTTGGCTGCATTCAAGTCTTTCTTTTTTTTTCTTTTTTTTGCTGGAGTCTTGCTCTATTGCCAGGCTGGAGTGCAGTGGTGCGATCTCAGCTCACTGCAACCTCTGCCTCCTGGGTTCAAGTGATTCTCCTGCCTCTGCCCATCGAGTAGCTGGGACTACAGGTGTGTCCCACCATGCCAAGCTAATTTTTGTATTTTTAGTAGAGATAGGGTTTCACCATTTTGGTTAGGATGGTCTCAATCTCTTGACCTTGTGATCCACCTGCCTCAGTCTCCCGAAGTGCTGGGATTACAGGCGTGAGCCACCGTGCCTGGCCAGATGTTTTAGTTTTTTAGCCATTACCATGAGTAGACCTAGTCAGAAAAGAATTTCATTGTTTAAGATTTCCATTCTCTGATTTTTATTAGTAGCCAGCCAAAGAAAATAAAAAGGAGGTCAGGATTTTGGTGTTTATATAGAAAATTAAGGTGAAAAGGCCAGGCAGGTTTTTAAAGTGTGGAAATTAAGAACTATTCATTATCCCAGTGATTCTGTGGATGGATTTGTTAAAGTTGTGTTACTGTCTTGAGGGAGAGAATATCGAGATAGGAGATAATGTTGGTTGAAGGAAATGAGGGTACTTTCTGTTTGTGAGGTGTCAAGCCATGTCGTCAGAAATGTTAGTCACATGACTTTTTAGGCACGCCTTAAATGTTTTACCCACATATGTTTTTGTAAAGTTTTAAGTTTTTAACTGGGAAAAACAGACCTATATATTAGGCTTTATATATAGATATATAAATTGAAAATTACACATATGTTTATATATGTTATATATGTTTATATATGTAATTTTATATATTATATATAGTTTTATATATGTATAAACATGTTTTTATATATTATATATGTATAAACATGGTTTATATTTGTAATCTTTCACATGGGAGAGAGATATATACCTTCTGTATATTAAAAATACATATCTATGAAAATTATATATGTAAATATTAATTTGTTATACATGAAAATTATATGTGTAAATATTAATTTTATATAATATATAAATCATATAATTATACATATATAATTATATAAATATTAACATAATTATATATAGGTTTTATGTAGAGAGAACTTAGTGTACAGGTCTGTATATAAGTTAAAAATGTATATGTTATATATAGCTACATCATATAATACATATAATTTTTATATATAATGACAAATACTTTATTGAAGGACAAAAAAAATTTCCATGCTGTCTCATAAGATGGTTGAAATATGCTAAATTACATTACCATTTCATACTAAGGCAGAATGTTGTAGAATAGTAAATCCAAATGAGATGTCTCAGATTACTTAGGGCTATTACAACAGGAATGCTGAGACTTTAAAAAAAATGTCTGAGGCCAGGCGTGGGGGCTCACACCTGTAATCCCAGCACTTTGGGAGGCTGAAGCGGATGGATCAGTTTGAGACCAGGTGGCCAACATGGTGAAACCCCGGCTCCACTGAAACACAAAAAAACACATGGGCGTGGTGGTGCATGCCTATAATTCCAGATACTTGGGAGGCTGAGGCAGGAGAATTGCTTGAACGGTAGGCGGAGGTTGCAGTGAGTGGAGATCACACCACTGCACTCCACCCAGGGTGACAGAGCAAGACTCTGTCTCAAAAAATAAAAAAAAGAAGAAGGCTGAATCATATCAGAAAATGAAAATTGTAATGTTCTTAGTTTCAAAGGCCTTTGAATGAACAGCATCAAAAATATTTTTTAAAAATGAAAATAACAATGTAGCAGATATCCTGGTACTTTAAAATGTTTAAAAAATAATGCTTGTTAAAATAATTACTATGTTTAGCTGGGCATGGTGGTTCACACCTGTAATTCCAGTACTTTGGGAAGTCAGGGTGGGAGGTTTGTTGGCACAAGATCAAGATCAGCCTGGGTAACATAGGAAGGACCGCAGCCTCTACCAAAAAAAAAAAAAAAATTGGCCAGGTGTGGTGGCACGTATCTGTAGTTCTAGCTATTGGCAACATTGATACAGGAGGATCCCTGGGACCCTAGAGTCCAAAGTGAGACCCTGTCTCTAAAAAAACAAAACAAAAGCAACAGAACTGTATTTATATAAAAGTGATATTTTTTTGAAAAATTTTATTTTTAATTGATAAAAATGGTTTATGTGATATATATATTATGGAATGATTATATCAAGCTAATTAACTCCGAATTTTTTAACTTAAGAGATATTTAAAATCTCTCTCTTTAGCAACTTTCAAATGAAATGAAAGAATAAAAGTGATTTTTTTGGGGAGACATCTCACCCTGTTTGCCAGGCTGCAGTGCAGTGGCACAATCCTGGCTCACTGCAACCTCCACTTCCCTATCCTCAGGTGATCCTCCCCCTTCATTGTCCTGATTAGCTAGGACTACAGGCATGCACCACCACCACAGGCTGACTTTTATATTTCTTATATAGACAGGGTTTGCCATGTTGCCCAGGCTGGTCTCAGGCCCCTGGGCTCAAACGATCCACCTGCCTTGGCCTCCTGAAGTGCAGGAATTACAAGTGTGAGCCACCACACCCAGTGAAAGTGTTATTTTTTAAATGACAAATTTAAGTCAAAGAGATTGAATGTTCACTTCTGGTACTTTGTATATATGAGGAACATTCCACTAAATAATAATTTTAAAAAAATTTAAATTACATATTTTGTCATTAAATGTTTAAACAATATAATTTCATTGATGATATAATGCTTGTTATTTTGTCAGTGTTTAAGATTGGTAATTGGGGTTTAAATTCACAACATTATTCTATTTAATGTCACAATTCACGTTTTTATTTCGTATATCTAATAAGGAATACTTTTAGCTGTAGTTATTATTTTTTTAGAGATAAGGTCTTCTGTGTTGCCCAGGGTAGACTCGAACTCCTGGGCTTCCACGATCCCCTCTTCTCCACCTCCAAGTAGCTGGGATTACAGACACGTGCCACTGTACCTGGCTTGCTATATTTACTTTTAATTCTTTTGTCTTTCAACTTTTATACTAGAGTTAGAAATGATTTACAAACCCCATTGCAGTTTTAGAGCATTCTGAATTTGACTATATATTTCTGATAACAACTTAACTTCAGTTGCATACAAAAACTATAGAGTTTTACTTCCCCCATCCACATTTTATACTATTGATGTCAAAGTTTACATCTTTTTACTTTGTGAATCCATTAATGATATGTCTAGTAGTTTTTACACTCACCATTCAGTTGTCAGACACCATTCAGTGGTTAGTCAGATTGTTATGAGCTAAAAGCAACTTAATGGGTATTTTTCAAAAATCATTTATGTCAATTGCTAATGGACTATCTCCTTTTCTATGCCATGATCATGCTTTTTTTTTGTTTTTTGAGACAGAGTGTCACTCTTGTCGCCCAGGCTGGAGTACAATGGCGCAGTCTTGGCTCACTGCAACCTCTGCCTCCCGGGTTCAAGCAATTCTCCTGCCTCAGCCCCCCAAGTAACTGGGACTATAGGCATGCACCACCACGCCTGGCTAACTTTGTATTTTTAATAGAGACAGGGTTTCACCACATTGGCCAGGCTGGTCTCGAACGCCTGACCTCAGGTGGTCCACCCGCCTCAGCCTCCCAAAGTTCTAGGATTACAAGCGTGAGCCACCGCACCCAGCCTGATCATGCTTTTAAGGTGGTCGAGTAAGTACTAGCTGCTGGGACTTTAGTGCCCTCCTACTCGAATGTGTTAGAACATAGTTAGGAAGGCTATAGTGGGCAGGCGCAGTGGCTGACCCCTGTAATCTCAGCACTTTGGGAGGCTGAAGAGGGTTGGTTACAATGTCAAGAGTTCAAGACCAGCCTGGCTAACATAGTGAAACCCCATCTCTACTAAAAATTAAAAAATTAGCTGGGCGTGGTGGTGGGCACCTATAATCCTAGCTACTCAGGAGGCTGAGGCAGGAGAATCACTTGAACCTGGGAGGTGGAGGTTGCAGTGAGCCAAGATCGTGCCACTGAACACCAGCCTAGATGACAGTGCGAGACTGTTTCAAAAATAATAAAAAAAAAAAGACTATAGTATTCAAAAGAGTAAAAAGCAGTGTCGTGTTTGCAGTAATACCTGCTTCTCAATTTAGGACTGGTGCTTATTATGGCTTAAATATTTTTGCAGTAAAATTTGTGTTAAAAAATATATATATTTTTTCTTTTTGAGACAGTCGCACTTTGTCACCCAGGATGGAGTGCAGTGGAATGATCATGGCTCACTGCAGCCCTGACTTCCGGGTTCAAGTGATCTTCCCACCTCAGCCTCCCAGTTAGCTGGGAACACAAGTGCACACCATCATGCTCAGCTA